GGTTGTGTGGTTGTGGGTGTTATCAGTTTTTGTGATGCTGTGGGTGTTACAGTGTTGTGATGATGTGAGTGTTACAGTGTTGTAATGCTGTGGGTGTTACAGTGTTGTGATGCTGTGGGTGTTACAGTGTTGTTTTTTGCTGTGGGTTGTTTACAGTGTTGTGTTGCTGGGGGTGTTACGTGTTGTGGGGTGTTACAGTGTTGTAATGTTGTGGGTTTTTAAAGTGTTGTGATGCTGGGGGTTTTGTTACAGTATTGTAATGCTGGGGGTTTGTTACAGTGTTGTGATGCTGTGTGGGGTTACAGTGTTGTGGTGCTGGGGGTTTTTTGTTACAATTTTGTGATGCTGTGTGTTACAGTGTTGGAAGGTTTGGGTGTTACAGTGTTATGATGCTGTGGATGTTACAGTGTTGTGATGCTGTGGGTGTTACAGTGTTGTGGTGCTGAGGGTGTTACAGTGTTGTGATGCTGTGGGTGTTACAGTGTTGTGATGCTGGGGGTGTTACAGTGTTGTGATGCTGGGGGGTGTTAGTTTTTGTGATGCTGAGGGTGTTACAGTGTTGTGTGATGTGGGGTGTTACAGTGTTTGTGATGCTGTGGGTGTTAGTGTTGTGATGCTGAGGTGTTACAGTGTTGTGATGCTGGGGGTTTGTTACAGTGTTTGTGATGCTGTGGGTGTTCAGTGTTGTGATGCTGTGGTGTGTTACTTAGTGTTGTGATGTTGTGGGTGTTTACAGTGTTGTGAATGCTGTGGGGGGTTTACAGTGTTGTGATGCTGGGGGTGTTACAGTGTTGTGGTGCTGAGGGTTTTTACAGTGTTGTGATGCTGTGGGGTGTGTACAGTGTTTGTGATGCTGTGGGTGTTACAGTGTTGTGATGCTGTGGGTGTTACAGTGTTGTAATGCTGTGGGTTTTACAGTGTTGTGGTGCTGTGGGTGTTACAGTGTTGCGAAGCTGTGGGTGTTACAGTGTTGTGATGCTGTGAGTTTTTAAGTGTTGTGGTGCTGTGGGTGTTACAGTGTTGTGTTTGCTTGTGGGTGTTACGGGTGTTGTGGGGGCTGTGAGCGTTACAGTGTTGTGAGGCTGTGAGCGTTACAGTGTTGTGATGCTGTGAGTGTTACAGTGTTGTGGTGCTCTGGGTGTTACAGTGCTGTGGTGCTGTGGGTGTTACGTGTTGTTGTGCTTTTGGGTGTTACAATGTTGTGATGCTGTGTGGTTGTTAACAGTGTTTGTGGTGCTGTGGGTTGTTGCAGTGTTGTGTTGCTGTGGGTGTTACAGTGTTGTGGTGCTGTGGGTGTTACAGTGTTGTGAGGCTGTGGGTCGTTACAGTGTTGTGGTGCTGTGGGGTGTTCCCAGTGTTGGGTGCTTTTGGGTGTTAAAGTGTTGTTGTGCTGTGGGTGTTACAGTGTTGTGATGCTGTGGATGTTACAGTGTTGTGGGGCTGTGTGTGTTACAGTGTTGTGATGCTTTGTGTTGTTACATTGTTGTGGTTTTTGTGGTGTGTTAAAGCGTTGGTGGGCTGTGGGTGTTACAGTGTTGTGATGCTGTGTGTGTTACAGTGTTGGGGTGATGTGGTGTGTTAAAAGCGTTTTTTGGGGTGCTGTGGGTGTTACAGTGTTGTGATGCTGTGGATGTTACAGTGTTGTGATGCTGTGGGTGTTACAGTGTTGTGATGCTGTGTGTGTTACAGTGTTGTGGTGCTGTGGGTGTTAAAAGCGTTGTGGTGCTGTGGGTGTTACAGTGTTGTGATGCTGTGGATGTTACAGTGTTGTGATGCTGTGTGTGTTACGTGTTGTTGGTGCTGTGGGTGTTACAGTGTTGTGGTGCTGTGGGTGTTACAGTGTTGTGGTGCTGTGGGTGTTACAGTGTTGTGATGCTGTGGGTGTTACAGTGTTGTGATGCTGTGGGTGTTACAGTGTTGTGATGCTGTGGGTGTTACAGTGTTGTGATGCTGTGGGTGTTACAGTGTTGTGATGCTGTGGGTGTTACAGTGTTGTGATGCTGAGGGGTTGTTACAATGTTTGTGTTTGCTGGGATGTTACAGTGTTGTGATGCTGTGGGTGTTACAGTGTTGTGATGCTGTGGGTGTTACAGTGTTGTGGTGCTGAAGGTGTTACATTATTGTGATTCTGGGGTGTATTCCTCTCAGCTTATATATATACTGTGATTTTAATCCCTATTTTTGGGATTAAAGTATTTTTCTCTGGCGCTGAGGTCACAGCGCAGTCTTTGAAGATCCTAGCTTAGTCGATAGGCTTTAAACTCACATTAACTAACCAACCTTTTCTCTCTCTGTTTAAATTATCTTCGAATGTAACTGCTAATATATTTATGGCTCGCATTATGTTAGTTTTTATCAACGTGTGTGTTTGTGTGTGTGTAGTTGCTGACGTCTCTCTCTTTCTCTTTCTTTCTTTCTTTACACAGGGCTTTACAAGGTTAGGTTCAGGGTTCTTAATTTTATTTACCAGCTAAGAGCTAGCTAGCTCTCTCTCTCTCTCTCTCTCTTCTCTCTCTCTCTCTCTCTCCTCTCTCTCTCTCTCTCTCTCTTCTCTCTCTCTCTCTCTCTCTCTCTCTCTCTCTCTCTCTCCTCTCTCTCTCTCTCTCTCTCCTCCTCTCTCTTTTCTCCTCCCTCTCTCTCTCTCTCTCCTCTCTCTCTCTCTCTCTCTCTCTCTCTCTCTCTCTCTCTCTCTCTCAAGCATTTTTCTCTAACTATTCCTGTTATTAAAGTTGTCAGATCTAATGTATATTAAGGTAGGTTTGTTTAATGTAGATTAAAATAGGCCTAATGTAAATTTAACTAGATTTATTGTAGTTTATGCAAGACCGAATGTAGGTTCAGGTAGACTCATCGTACCGGCAAACAACTGTCATAATAATATTTTATTATCTCTAGCGATTATAGTTTTAGCTGTGTACTAAAACCGTGAAACCTTTATCGCGACGTTTCTTCCAGAACTGGAGGAAACATGGTGTTCTTGGCCCCTACATCTCTGCCTAACCCATCGTTGTGTTGCACTTGGTGATTCCTTGTTGCCTGAAGCTTCCGTTTTCTTGCCTGAAGCTTCCGTTTTCTTCCCTGAAGATTCCGTTTTCTTCCCTGAAGCTTCCGTTTTCTGGTCAAAAGGTGTGTTTCTTGTCCTTGATTTTCCATTATGTGATCTTTATTTTTGGGGGGGAAGATGACGTGTTTCACTTTACTCCCTGAATTAAGGTATTAAATCAAACTCTCAGTGGTAATCAGGAGTATCTCTTCACATATTCCTAAAATATTGTCTACCAGTCTTCTCAGTATAGATTAATATCCCTTATTTGAGTATCTTCTATACATTTCCGATAATATTTCTATAATCCAAATATTCTCCTTGGATATTATTTAACCCCCACTATCTACGCTACCACCTAATCTTGTGTACCTGTCCACTTATGGTACAACAACAGGTTATATTGTATGCCGTCATTCCTGGAACACGGAGCGTGAGTTTGGTGCGTAGACACTAGTGCTACTCATGCTACGTGTGTCGGGAATGACGGCATATAATATAACCTATTTACCTGTTGTTGTACCATAAGTGGACAGGTACACAAGATTAGGTGGTAGCGTAGATAGTGGGGGTTAAATAATATCCAAGGAGAATATTTGGATTATAGAAATATTATCGGAAATGCATAGAAGATACTCAAATAAGGGATATTAATCTACACTGAGAAGACTGGTAGACAATATTTTAGGAATATGTGAATTATTATTATTATAATCAAGGGGAAGCGCTAAACCCGGAGGATTATACAGCGCCTGGGGGGGGGATGTGGAAGGCATTCAGGCTTAATTCGGTTAACTGGAGCACAGAAACCAATTCCCTAATCAGAGCCCCACCTCAGGAATCCTGAGGGGAGGATTGTGGAGTTCTCTGATTCCACTGAAACATTTTAGAACCCCGGACTCTGGTATTTAAAAGAACAAGAGTACATTCATTTCTTTTATCAATTAAGGGGTTACACAGAATAATAGGAATCCATATGTATATTATCCACTGTGAAACCTATTTTCTCAAGTCGCATGACCTGTTCTAGGCAACTAGAAGAAGCTTGGGGCTGGCTATTGTATTTTCTAATTTCCTATTTCTTGACTGCTGAAAACCTAGAGGCCGTCTCCTGCCCCAAGTGGGGCGGGGGATGAAAAGGGGTAGGAAGGGGAGGGGTGGCACACAGGCAGTTGCCTCACATTCAGAGAGACTGTGGCTGGTGACAACCCGTGCTGCGCTACTCGGAGAAAAAACTTCCCCTCAATCCTTCAGTTGTTGCCTTGCAACACTGCATAGCTCCTGATGACGCACTGAGAAGTGTGAAAGTACTTGAGCTAAAGATTTAAACCCCCCGTGGCTGTCTTGCTATATACATATATATTTTATATATATATATATATATATATATTATATATATATATATATATATTATTTATATATATATATAAAATATATATATGTCGTGCCGAATATGTAAAACTGGTCAATTAGCCAAAAAATCATTTAAAATTAAAATCCTTTCTGAAATTTTCTCTTATACGTTTAAAGATATATATTTTTTTCATTAATGTTAATGTTTTAAAAATTTTTAATTTTGCTCCAAAAGAATCTTAGGAAAACTTACCTAACGTTATTATAACAACAGCAATTTTTTTTTAGCGTAACCCAACTAAATATATTTTAAATTTCGTTTACAATAATTTAGTACTAAACAAGCACAATCAAATATATTTTTTTCGTTAGGGTTTAGAAATGATTTTGGCGAAAATTTTTGGCATACACAAATTTTCACTTGTCATATATGGCAAGATGAGCGTTGCTATTTAAGCCAAGATGGCAAATTCTGCCTATTCGGCACGACATATATATATATATTATATATATATAAAAATATATATATATATTATATATATATATAATATTATATATATTTATATAATATTATTGCTTGCCTGTTGAATCTGTGTATACTCACCTTGAAGGCATAAGGGAAGGTTTGTGGTCTGAAACGTGACCTCTTGCCCAGTTGCGAGTCTTCGTGCACCTTGTGGTGACCCGTGGCTGTCTCCCGGGCGTCGAAACTGGAACCAGAAGACCCTTAAATAAGGACCTTTAATAAGACCATTAAATAAGGCCTTTAAATAAGACCTTTAAATAAAGTCTTTAAGTAAGACCTTTACATAAGACCTTTAATAAGACCATTAAATAAGGCCTTTAAATAATACTTTTTACATAAGACCTTTAAATAAAGCCTTTACATACCTATTAACCTAGGTGGTGCTTAGGTAAACTAGTTCACCTTAAGTTAATTTGGTGATGTTAGAAACTTTAACTAGGAGGCTTCAGATAAATTAGATGACCCTGATAATCCAAGTGAATTCTAATTGATCCGATGATGATCAGTATACCAGGTGACCTTCAATAAACCAGATGCTGGTGAACGGCTTTTGAACCAAGGGATTGGAGCTACCTCCCCTTCCTAGCTTAAAACTAGATTTTCTAACAACTCCAAGAATAATAATAATTCACACACACGCACACAGGAGACAGGAGACATACATAGCTTTAAGAAGAGGTATGATAAAGCTCATGGAGCAGGAAGAGTGACCTGGTAGCGGCCAGTGAAAAGACAGGGCCAGGAGCTGTGACTCGACCCCTGCAGCCACAACTAGGTGACTATACACACACACACACACACACACACACACTAACAAGCCAACCCACCTGTAGAACGGCTTAGTGGCTTGATCCTTGTACCAGAGGATGAGTGTTGGTCGGTCAGGTGGCAGTGGAAGCTCACAGGGCAACTTAGCTGTTCGTCCAGCTAACACAACGCTGGACACTGTAGTGGTAGCTGTCCAGGGAAGAGAGCAAAAAACACAAGGTCATGTCTCTTGGTCAATTAAGGTCAGTCCGACACACGGAAGTGGAGGAATGCAAAGGCACCTGTTCCAGAGTTACTCCCGACACGAGAGAGAGAGAGACAGACACACAGACAGTGAGACAGACAGTGAGTGAGAGAGACAGACAGACAGTGAGACAGACAGTGATTGAGAGAGACAGACAGACAGTGAGTGAGTGAGAGAGTAAACACTTTGGGTGTTTTGTATAAGTAAACATTTGGTAAATGGACATAGAGGCAACTAATGTGACATTTTGTCGTGGCAACGTTTCGCTCTCCAGGAGCTTTATCAAGCTTGATAAAGCTCCTATAGAGCGTAACGTTGCCACAATAAAATGTCACATTAGTTGCCTCTCCGTACAAATACGGTTGTTAGTTTAGCTTCGAACTGGCATTAAGACAGTGGTGAATTTAGCTGGTTAATTGGGCTTAGGTCCTGTCGACTACACGAGGGTCATTAAGGCTGCTTGTCACAGGTTCACCACCAGTCAAGAATATGTTAACTCCTGAAATGGGTATTAAACTCTGAGCGTATATGCACAGAGACAAATACGTCACGGTGTGTAGATCCTGCCGGGGTGAAATGGTTGAGGGTATTAATATTGAAAAAAAATTTAAGACGATCTCAAGATGTGAGGTTAGGTTAGGCAAGAATCGTCAGGAAAGAGGACAGGTGTTTCCTGACGCTGTTCGTAGTCATACGATGACCCACCACTGCATGGAGCTTATGGAGAATAACATAAGTTATGAATGTGGCCGAGAAAAATGCTTAGTAATTATTTTTTTTCCTGATAGAGTCATTAAAATAAACTATTACATAATACCCCAAAATATATATGCAACGTTATCATCAGAAATTGCAGCTCAGTGAGTGGAAAACATGAGAACATAAATACCAGCCCTGACACCTTCACTCAGACCAGAGCATAAACATGAAGTATAAGCATAAATCTTATAATATACAGGATCTAGTGTTAAACATATGAGCATTAAATAGTACCTACAAATTTTAGTATTAGTGACTAAGAAACGACGCGCACAAAAATATAATAGATTCGTCAGAGCAGTGTCCTGACATGGGATTGAATCATGCAACGACCCGTTAATGCAACACCTTAAAATCGCCGTTAAAAAAAATGATAAAATATTATTTTTGCTGAAATTAATACCGAATAAAATATTATTGTTAATCTTTTTAGAGCATTAGGCTGTTTCCGGTTATTCTTGTATTTTTTTTTTGGGTGACATATTTTAGAACGTCACGTAAAATATAAAATTGTCTACGTTCATAGGAAATTTTTATAGATCCGGCTCTTCTGTTTGTAATATTTACGACCTGAATTTCAGAAGCTCATTCTAATTCTCGGCGAGACCCATTGTAAAGCAGTAATTACCTGAAGATCATCCCGCTTCATTCTATATAGTATTAAACACCGAGAATTTAATTCTCATTTTATGGATTCGTGGACCGGTAAGCCAGTGGAAGGCCTCGGTCAGATGACCAAAAGCTCCAGCTGTGATTAATCATCATACGAATAACACCAGCGTTTCCTGTCCTGTTTACCACCAGTCGAGAAAACTTCATTCCCAAATATGAGACAATTAGGATTAATCTCTAAGTTTTTAAAATCCCTCACTGATATACTTATCAGGGCTCAGTTTTTAGTTTCACAACTTTATTACGCCAGCCACACCCATCCTATGGGTAGTATAACTGCATTATACCAGGAGGGGGCCAGCGCGGTCCGCTTAGTGATAAAGCCTGTAGATGGTAGTCGCTGTGTACCCCTTGTGGTTTAGCGCTTCTTTTTTATTATAATAATAATATGGATGGTAGTTACGTCCTCGGAATATATACAGATTAGCGGGTCTTGGTTAGTTGGTCACTGGGGGTTTATAGACTATCAGCTGCACGAGTGCCATTAAGGACGTACGATAATCTTTTCACCAACCCAAAATATTTTCACAGGAATAAATGTGAACTCTCAGCATACGAGCGCTTAGAGAAATCCATTCCTAATGGCATATATTCAGCGTGTCAACTGGCCTTCTTGTTTTATTCACCACTAAACAAGACAAGTGCTTCCTGACACGGATTTTAATAATTTAGATGATCCATCTGTTACCATAACAACGTCTGTAGTTGTTGTATTGTCAGGAGACAAAGCAAGTATCTCCTGTCATATACATGTATATTGTTCTTTTTTTTTTTTTTTTTTTTTTTTTAAAGATTAGCCGGTATTCTCCCGGCCCGGGCCTTTTCCAAGTGGTGGCCCGGCCTCGGCTCCCTCTTTAGGGAGTGTCAGAGACCTAAGTCTCCCATGGGAGGAGGCACAAGTACCTCCTCATCTTTGGGACCAACTGTCCCCAGGCCTAGCCACAAGCTAGGCCTCTCTGGTCTGCCATCCCCGCCCCAAGGGGGCTAATGGGAATGACAGTCTTGTGAGCTAAAGGCTCGGGCTCAGGCACCTACCCTACCCTAGAAGGGTTAGGCATGGTGTCGATCGTATATTGTTCCTCGGCTCATTCCAGTTAAAAATTAAATAATGCTGCAATTCTCCGATTTCCGTAACTTTATGTAATTATTTACCTATCGTTAAAGATCAGATTTCCAGACTTTACTCGCGGGAGTGAGCTTTATAATTTATGTCGAGTGACACTGAAATATAACGATCCTTAACCTGCCTCAGGTGAGCACGAGTCATTAAGGTTAATTAATTCCCTGACGTACGACAAGCACTGCGACAAGGGGTATTAATAGAAACATGGCGTCAGCTCATGGCTTTGGACAATTTACCTGGAGTATACCTGGAGAGGGTTTCGGGGGTCAACGCCCCCGCGGCCCGGTCTGAGACCAGGCGTCGTGTTGGATCAGGATCTGATCAACCAGGGTTTTACTGTTGGGCGCACGTAAACCGATGGACGAACCACAGCCGGGCTGGTCCGGTACTGACTTTAGGTGCCTGTCCAGTGCCTTCTTGAAGACAGCCAGGGGTCTATTGGTAATCTCCCTTATGTATGCTGGGAGGCAGTTGAACAGTCTTGGGCCCCTGATACTAACTGTGGTGTGTCTCAGTGTACTCGTGGCGCCCCTGTTTTTCATTGGGGAAATGTTGCATCTCCTGCAGAGTCTTTTGCTTTCATAGGGAATGATTTTCGTGTGTAGAGTTGGTACTAATCCCTCTAGGATTTTCGAAGTGTATATTTTCATGTATCTTTCTCTCCTGTGTTTCAGGGAATACAAATCAGGGGACTTAACCGTTCCCAGTAATTTAGGTGCTTTATCGTAATTATGTGTACCGTGAAAGTTCTTTGTACACTCACCAGGTCAGCAATTTCGCCAGCCTTGAAGGGGGCAGTTAGTGTACAACAGTACTCCAGCCTAGAGAGAACAAGCGATTTGAAGAGAATCATCATGAGCTTGGCGTAAGGGTTTTGTAGGTTATCATTATCCATTCCTGTCATTTTCTAGCAGATGAGGGTACATACATTGTTGTGCTCTTTGAAGGTGAGATCCTCTGAATTATCACTCCCAGGTCCTTCACAACTTCAACAAGGAAATGTTTACTCGACGTTATGTCCTGACTCGGATCTTTTAAATACTAAATATTATATTATATATATATATTATATATATATATATAAATTTATATATTAATATATATATATATATTATAATATATGTCGTGTCGTGTGTATATATATATATATATTATATATACTATTATATTATATATATATATATATATATATATATTATATATATATATTATATATATTGTATATTTATTTATTTATATATATATATATATATAGAGTGAGAGAGAGAGAGAGAGAGTAGAGAGGAGATAGTAGATAGATATAGATAGTTGCGCTGGAGGCTCGATCCTCCGATCCGCTAATTATAAACTAGTTAGCTAGGACGCTTATCTTCACACAAGGTCATGATTTAAAATAAAAAAAAACTGTGCTAATGTATTAAAACTAAAGCAAATATGATAATTTGCCCAAAATACATTTCCAGCAAATTATTAAAAAATCAACAGTTTGAAGCTATTTTTTATTTATAAAAATAACAAGGAACGCCACTACATTATGACAATGTTACGAGGAACTGGACATTGTTCACTGGAACACTCTTATGCCAGTGTCAGTCCTTTTGTTTGCCATCGTCTACATAATAACCATAATCTATTTAGTGAGACTGAAAAAAGTGGTTTACCAGGAGGAAAATGTTGGCATAGCAGCAGCTCCAGCAACAGTAGCAGCAGCACCAGTAGTAGCACACAGTAGAAAAAACAGCTGCAGACACAGTAGTAGCTCCTGCAGACACGGTAGCAGCACCAGTAGCAGCAGCTGCACAGTTGCTAGCACCAATAGCTGCAGCAAGCACCGCAGCACAGTAGCTGCAGCAGCACCAGCAAGCACCAGTAGCAGCACCAAGCACCTGCAGCACCAAGTAAGCAGCTGCAGCACCAGTTGCAGCAGCAGCACAGCCTGACCAGTAGCAGCAGCAGCACCAGCAGCACCAGTAGACAGCAGCAGCACTGCAGCCGCAGCAAGCACCAGCTGCACCAGTTCAGCAGCAGCAACAGCCAGCAACAGTTGCAGCAGCAGACACCAGTAGAAGCAGAGCACCAGCAAGCTCCAGTAGCAGCAGCAGCTCCAGTAGCGCATCAGCAAGTAGCAACAAGTAGCATGCAGAACAGTAGCAGCTGCAACAAGTGCCGAATCACCAGCAGCAGCACCAGTCAGCAGCCTGCACAGTTGCAGCAGCACCATAGCAGCCAGCAGCACCAGTTGCAGCATCTGCAGCAGCCAGTAGCACCAGTGCAGCAGCAGGCACCAGTTGCGCATTGCAAGACAGCAGTAGCACAGTAGCAGCCGCACAGTTGGCAGTAGCACAGTAGCTGCAGCACCAGTAGCAGCAGCAGCACAGTAGCCAGCTGCAG